TTACCATCTCAGAAACCCAATGGGTGTCACTATGAGTCAGAATCCACTTGATAGCCATGGGTTTGTTTTTGGCTTTTGTAACTGCTGTATAGAGAACTGACCATAAGGGGCTCGGGTTGAAGCAGATGCCATTTCAAAAATCCAAGTGAAAAATGATGATAGTTTACTACCAGGGAGCTAGTGAAAAAGGAGAGAAGTGATCACAGAACATATTTTGAAGGCACAGTTGACAGGACTTACTAATGGATTGCCAATGGATGTGGGGAATGAGATAAATAGAGGAATTAAGGCTGACTCCTCTGTTTTTAAGGAACTCTGGTAGAGTAGTGCCTAAGGCACTAGATTGCTAACCAGAAAGCTGGTGGTTCAAACCCACCAGCCACTCCTCGGAAGGAAGGTTGGGCAATCTACTTTCGTAGTGATACTGCCTCGGAAATCCAAGGAGGGGTCACTATGAGTCAGATCTGACTCAATGGCACATAACAACAACAACCTCTGTTTTCGGCCTGAGAAATGGGGTGAATGCTAGAGCTATTAAAGGAGATGGGGAAGACCAAGCCAGGAGTGGGTTTGCCAGAGGGAATCCAGTTATTTTCAGAAACCAGAACCAAACTCACTGCCGTAGAGTTGGATCCGACTCATAGTGACCCCTCCTTGGGTTTCTGAGGTGATATCACTACAGAAGTAGATTGCCCAATCTTCCTTCTGAGGAGTGGCTGGTGGTTTGAACTACCAGGCTTCTGGTGCTGGCATAGTGCCAAAGGCATTTCATGGTTAACCAGAAGGCTGGTGGTTCAAACCTACCAGCCACTCCTCAGAAGGAAAATTGGGCAATCTACTTCCATAGAGATACTGTCTCAGAAACCCAAGGAGAGGTCACTATGAATTTGAACTAACTTGATGGCAGTTTGGTTTTTTTACTAGTATTAACAGGAGCGTACTGTATGAGAGAGCACAGTGGTTAAAGAGCTCAGCTGCTACCTGAATGGTCAGTGGTTCAAACCTACCAGCTGCACTACGGGAAAAAGATGTGGCAGTCTGCTTCCGTAAAGATTTACAGCCTTGGATATCCTTTGAGGACAGTCCTATGTATGGTCTCACTATGTGTCAGAATCAACAAGTATTTTTTTTTTTTTATTAGTATATACTTTAGTTAGTTATTTGCAGTGGGGACAAAAAGGCATTTCAGGTGTTTCTGAAATCTTATGGTAGGTTTTGGTGACGTTTTGGAGGTGAGACATTACTTGCTTTGTACAAGATCAGAAATTAAGTCAGAACTACTGAGACTAACCAAGTCTTCTAGTCAGGAAAGTTCTGGGAGCTGGTGCCAGCTGGATAAGGAGCCTCAAGGCAGGTTCTTAGGTCATCAGATAAGTTCTTTCTCAGGAGTGGATCTTGCAAAGAGGCCAAAGCCAGGGGGAAAAAGGAGGGCATTTTTTTTTTTTTCCCCCTAAGAATTCATATGTTGTCAGAAGGGACCATTCCCTGGAGAAGGATGTCAGGCTTGGTAGGGTGGAGGGTCGACGAAAGAGAGGGAGGCCTTCAAGGAGATGGATTGACACAGTGGCTGCGACGATGGGCTCAAGTATAGCTGGGATTGTGGGGCTGGCGTGGGATCGGGCAGTGTTTCGTTCTGCTGTGCACGGGGCTGCTATGAGTCGGAAATGACTCGACGGCACTTAACAACAACAACAACAACAATTCATAACTAGCTGGCACTGTGCCAAGTGACCAGGAAGAAAAGCAGGACAGGGGATGGGTCACAGAACAGATTAAAATCTGTGTTTTTATCTCTAGTCTTAGAGAAGAGTCCCTGTGGCAACCCCATCTATTCCGGGCATTGGGGTAGTAGAATTCCCCTTCTGGATACACATTACATGTTAAAACAACTGCCTGGGCTTTCCAAGTTTGACTTTTAAAAAAATTATTTTCTAAAATTACAAATTAGTCACAATCAAAGATAAATGATAGTGTCCTCCAAAGGGTACAGTATGGAGTGGGAGGGGTGGGAGGAAGGGACAAGGAAAAGAGGATATTGGGGCTGGAGATATGTGAAATGGTGTAGGAAGGGGCCCTTTCTCTCTAGTTCTCCAAGTACAGGTTCTAGGTGCAGGAAGAAGATACCATGTTATGATGCCAACCTAAACCTATTATGAATCCCTGATCCAATGGGTCCAACCTTGGTAATTTCTCTAAACAGTTTTCTGAAGCTCCAGCCCCCAGATTAACTTAATCTGTCCTCTTAGTCAACAGTGGCTTGCTTATGGAAGATGTTTTGGACAGGTAGCAAGGACTCTGGCATTCCGGTCCTGACTTGGTCACATATTATTTATCTTAGATGTTTTTCATGGCTTCAATTTCCTCATCTCTGAAAGGAGGTACCTGGAATAAATGTTGACAGTCACTTCACATCCTAGTTCAATTATCCTTTCATCTTAACTCCTGAGAAGAAAATTTCTGTGGTCTCCTGATTTCTAAGCCAGTATGCAATTTCATTTTAAAACGATCTAGTAATACTTTCATTGAAATGTGATTGGGGGGGGGGATGATTTCTAAGTAGGAAGCATAAATATAAGATGATTTTCCCACCATATGGTGACTGGGCAGCAGGGCAGGCTGAATTGCATTAAGGTCAGACCCTATCTGAGGAGGATTATTCCTAATCCTGATTCCAGGCAACAGAGGATCAAGTGGGCTTCTCACTGAACCAGAAGGGCCTTTAAGCAGGAATCCAAAGAACCTCCTTTGTGGGATGGTGTTTTCCAAATATTACCTAAGTTTTTGTTTGTTTGTTTGTTTTTGATTATGAAGCATTACCATTGAAGATACCTCAAACAATTCCCCCTCCTGGGAAAAGTACAGTTAATTTGAAGGATGGCTCCATTCACCCACAAACAGGAGTCAAGTTATCTTCCTGGTGGTAGAAATGGAGTTGTCACTAAACAGAGGCTGAGGATAGCCATTGGAATTGTGACCTTTTCCTAAGTAGTTGGGTCCTCTTGATCTATGCCCACCTGCCATCAGGAGCTGGGCTAGGTCTTGAACTAGATAAAATGGGCCTGCGTTTGCCAGCTGCTTTCCCATGTTCACAGGTTTCTGTCCTTTGTTTTTGTTTCAGCTCTAATTGTTGGGATGAAGAAAGGAAGATACAGAGGCTGTTTTCAGCAACCAGACAAAATTATTTATTAGGTAAAGACCGTGGGCAACATCTATCCAGGAAACTGAAGAATACAATGAAAAGAGAAAGTAGGAGCCTGGATAAATTTCAGTCCATTGGTGAGACAAACCCCAGGAAAATGTCCAGGGGCAAATACAAATAGGTGCAATCATATTTCCAGTTGCCCTGAGCACAATGAGCAGCATTTGGGGATGCTGAGAAGCAGCAGGTAAGAAAGCTGGGTGGATGGTGAGAGAGTGGGTAGTGGCACCATGTGGAAACGGATCGAAGTTGGAGCTAATTGAAGGTGTGTTTGAAGGGTTTGGATGTTGGGCGAGGGCTGAGGGGGCAGGAGGCTGAGACTGGCTGATAAAGTGGTAATATTTCTAAAGGATGATTCCTACAAATGACTTTGACATAGAAAAAGGCTAGATCAGAAAGAAGAGAATGGAACCATTGTGGAGCTAACAAATTGAGAATGGACTGATCTCTAGGCAAGCAAGAATCAGGGGGAGGCAGAGAGGGAAACAGGGTTTGAGGAACGACTATGCAGACTACTGAGTTTTGTCCAAGATTCTCTCCTCTGTCACACTTTTTCCTGACCCTACATCCCTGCTTATCCCAGCTCCTATCTATTCCCTCTTCCCTATAGCCTAGATCCCACAGAAGGAGGGACTGTCTCTTCCACCTGTAGGACATGGCACTGAAAATTTGACATACAGGCCCCCAAAACTCTAGAATTCATTGTTGTCCTGGGGTTTACCTCAGTTTCCTCCATCCTGGTGACCCCTTGGGAGCTCTGGTGGCATAGTGCCTAAGGCATTTGATTGCTAAGCAGAAGGCTGGTGATTCAAACCCACCAGCCATTCCTCAGAAGGAAGATTGGGCAATCTACTTCTGTAGAGATACCACATCAGAAACCCAAGGAGGGGTCACTATGAGTTGGAACTGACTCAATGGCAGTGACTTTGTTTTTTTTGTTTTGGTTTCGGTGTCACCTCAAATTGCTTTATAAAATTTCAGCCTGGGATCTTTCCTTCCCAACATCCTTTAGGTTTTATGCTTGCCTACTGTTCTTCCACATTCCCCTATTCTGGACACCAAGATTTTTTCTGTCATAAACCCATGCCAATCTAATCCCATGTCAATTCCTGAGCTGTTCTTTGAGTTTCCTCCAAGTCTTTCCTGATAGGATCTTGTCTCAAGAGATAGGAGACTACTTAAGTAGTTTAAGAGTCACATCCCATCCCACCCCTAAGTATTGGTGCAGACACAGATTCTGAACACCAAAAACCAAACTCACTGCCATTGAGTCAGATCCTACTCATAGTGACCCCTCCTTGGGTTTCCAAGGCCTTATCACTACGGAAGTAGATTGACCGAGATTTTCCTTCCGAGGAGTGGCTGATGGGTTTGACTGGTTAGCAGTCAAATGCCTTAGGCACTACACCACCAGAGCTCTCACAGATTGTTGTTATGTACCATCAAGTCAGACCTGACTCATAACGACCCCTCCTTGGGTTTTTGTCCCCTCCTTGGGTTTTCGAGGCAGTATCACTACGGAAGTAGATTGCCCAACCTTCCTTCCAAGGAGTGGCGGGTGGGTTTGAACTGCCAGCCTTTTGGTTAGCAGTCAAGTGTCTTAGGCACCAGAGTTCCCACAGATTTGGAAGGTCTTATATCCCACTCTCTCTAGGAGCAGCAGTAACACAACCTTCCCAGGCCTAATTTATCTCTGCCCAACAAGAAGAAACAGGAGTTGAGTGAACTGACAGTTGAAGCCTCAGGGAGTGATGAGGCAGAGGAGTTAGAGCAAAAGAAAGCAGCTGAGCTGGGATAGTCCTTAAGGTGTCCCTTGGCCGGGTTGAGTAGGGATCAGTTTAGAATGGAGGGTGTCTGCATCCCCAGGCACAGAGTCCTCCCCAATGGGTGACAGTGGAATCTCCCTAGAAAGATCCTGGGCACCAGCAACTACTGTGACCTCCTCAGGTCCATCAGTGATTAGGCAAATGGTCAGGGGCTTCTTACCACAGGACCATAGGCAGAAGAAGGGCCGAAGCGGGCCAGAGAAAGAGACTTTGGAGAAAGTATAGATAAGGGATCCATCAGACATATTGTAGAAGGAGATGTCTCCTAATTCATAGTCCAGGAAAATCCCAACCCGGTGGGGGGCTCTTGCCAATGGGAGAGGGGTCCGAATTGGGGTGAGGGCCCAGTACCCATTTCCATACAACTCCATGGCCCAGAACCCATTTTCAGGAATCATAGGGTCAAATCCTTTCTTCATCACATTCTCCCGACACACTCCAACTGCCCAGTCAGTCCTGTCTCCCACCTCTACTTCCCAGTAATGTCTTCCTGAGGTGAAGGCCTCACGACCTAACACACAGGGCCAGGAGTCAAATCTCTCTGGTTTTTCAGGCAGTTTCTGCCGTGAATCTTCTAGTCGGACAGATTTTGAATCTTCATATACAAAGAGATGGGGATGGGCTGTATCTGGATCCAGGGTCACATCCACTGGAGAGAGAGAGAGAGGAGTTTGAAGGTCAGTGAATATTAGAGGGTTCAGGATGTACCCCTCTTCCTTCAAATAGAACACAATTTTAGAAGTTGAGAGGTCTCCTGAGGAGAAGAACTATTTGACTTGCTCAGTTGTCTCCATCACCTCCAGGCTCCCTCCCTCATCAACAGCCACAAGATGACGTAAGAGCTGACTGTCCCCAGTATCTAATGGGTTCCTTTCTGAAAGGTTAGTGTTCTGGCTGTCAAGAAAAGTTCAACACTTTGGCCATTTGGTGTCATCTCTCCCCTTCCTATACTCATCACAAAAATGGTGTTAGTGCTTTCATTTCCAAGTATCATAGGGCTTTGAATCCCTTAGCAAAGAGCCTCAGAGTCCTTGAGAAATTTAGAGCCACTCACCTGCATGCAATGTAGCCTTTTTCCATTCTGCAATGAAAGAGGGAGATTGTCATTGACAGGTTATAGAGCAAGAGAAGGAAAACCTTGTGGGTAAAACAATGCCAAACAAAACAGAACTTACTGAGCTCTTCCAGTAGTTTCTCTGGAAAACAAACAGAAATATCTCAATGTCCTATAGAGGATATGAAGGAGGGGATAAAACTGATGTGGGAAACACACAAAGGAGGAACTGTTTCATTCATGATAACCTGAGTACTGAAACATTATCAATAAATCAAGAACAGGATTTCTTTTTCTTTTTATTTAGTTTTCTAAGAAATATGCAGGAAGTTCCAACTGGCTTGAGATGAGACCTTTAATGATAAAAAAAAAAAAAAAATTCACTGCCATGGAGTCATATCCAACTCATAGTGACCTCTCCTTGGGTCCGAGGCGGTATCACTATAGAAGTAGATTGCCCAACCTTTCTTCCGAGGAGTGGCTGGTGGGTTTGAACTGCCAGCCTTCTGGTTAGCAGTCAAGTGCCTTAGGCACTATGCCACTAGAGCTCCCACCTTTAATAATAAGATATTGCTATTAGGAAACTTGGTTAAAAGTGGGGATATGGTCTGAGGGTGGATAGCAGGTAAACATCAGATTTAACATCTCAATTAGAATTGGTTCTAACTCTGCTTGTGCTCCAAACCCCTGTCTTTTTCTTCATCATATTGAATGTTTGTGACTTCTGGATCTTTTTTTGGGGGGGAGGGGATCTTTATAATTGCTTCCAACTTTGAATCTAGAATCAAATCTTTTCCTGCTAGAAGTCATCCTAAAGGGCTTGGATCCAACACCATTCCAAAGCACTCCTAACGAGTAGCCTGGGACTCTGAGACTTACCTTTAGGGTTGAATTCATTCTTCTTTTCTCTGGCTCTTTCCCTGTGTAGTCTCCAAGTGAAAAATATGGACCCAATGGTGAGAAGTCCTAGAACCATCACAATAACAGCCACACCCACCATCCAGGGAGTCAGTCTTGGAAAGAAGGAAGCTGAAACAAAATCCCCAACAAGAACACTTGTTGAGAAACTCTGAGCAAGTCCAGCTTCTCTCCTGATTCCAAAATGGGTTATAAGAAGGGATGATCTGGACCTCTCCTACTCCTCCCATGGCAAAATAGTGGCTTTAATGCCATGCTAAGCGTTTCAGAAAAATTTTGAACATGGGTAGAAGACAGCAGAGAAGGGTAGAAATGAAGATGAACAAGAGTTATTGTGGGACAGGATTTATGAAATAAAGAGTATAGCTGATCAATTCATGTTATTTTGGAAATTCCTCCTTAATTATCAATGCAGGGGGGAGCCAAGGGGATAAGGGAAGTAAATGAGAAAAGGAAAATGACACCTGTGTGTATAATATAACGGAAGTGAAATAATGAACAAAGAATAAGGCAAGGTTTCTGTCTGAACCTGGGGAGTATAGGAGAGGATCTGCTTCCCTGAGGACCTTTGCAACCTAACAAGGAGAAGTCAAAGGTAGAAACAGTAAAAGCAGAAAATCAATTTAGGCTTCTTGTTCACTTAAGGATAGAAGATTCTGGATTAGAAAGGTCCTTAGTGACAAGGCTTTTCTACCTAAGATGTATCTCCCAAGACGGAAAATCTTCGCTTTCTATGAGATCTATCTAGAGCTTGTGCCTTCAGAATCTGTAATCTTCTGGTGAAGTTGGTGAACTTCCTCAAGTGGGCAGGCAGGAGCTTAGGTGAGGAAAGTGCACAACTCTTATCTATGAGGTTACGGCTGGGCAAGTGTCCCAGGTGGTGTGGCCTTGAGGCTGTCAACATAAAAATCCAGCATTAGTTCCACTAACCTGGTATGGAAATTCCTATTTCCTTCTCTTGGCCAAGAAGGAGGTTCTGGATGCAGCAAGACACATTCCCCAAGGAGTTATCTCTGATAATCAGTGATGCTGTCACGGTGAACAGACCTTCCTCATCGGGAGTGCTGGACTCTGATGTGAATGGAAATTTTTGTCCCTTGGAAGTTCTCCACTGCACCTGGGGTTCTGGGTACCATCCAATTGAGGAGCACTCCAGCCGGATCTCACCACTCTCTTGAATTTCCATATGGATGTGAGGATCAGAGCCCAGTGCTATGGAGACAGGAACTGATCTTAATCCTTTAGTGAACACCTTTCTGGAAGCCTTATAAATACAGTGTTTCATAGTTTGAAAAAGACGGACAGACAGAAACACAAGGGGACTGGGATTAGGAGGGACTCATCTCCATATTTTGTTCTGCAATCAAACTGAGGTATCAATGGATACAATTTCTCACACCTTATCAGAGAAGGGTGTCATGTTGGAATCTAATCATGGTCCCACCCCTAAAGAAAAGACAGCATTTAAGGTGGTCTTTGAAAGGTGGACAGGAATTTTGATGGAGACACATGAAGGGTACTTGTTCAGCTAGTAGGAAGGGCCAATGGCTTAGAGACCAGAAAGTGATCTTTGTTGGGAACTTCAGAGATAGGAGGGTACTCTGTGGTTGGAAGTATTAAGATAAGACTTTGAAGAGCAGGAGAACTAAGACTGGATGTTTAAAAATGAACAGAGTATCCTCAGGGAAAAGGAAAATTAGAGGGTCTTTGCACTGAGGTCATAGTTAACAATTTAAATTCCTTTTAGTTGTAACACTGATTTAGAAAAATTTTTAAATGGTTTCAACCTTATTTTCCCTCACACAATTATAGTCAAACATAAATTAACTCAAAAGCTTCTTATCCTATCTATTTTTTTAAAAAATTATTGTGATTTGGGTGAAAGTTTGCAGAGCAAATTAATTTTCTATACAGCAGTTCATATACATTTTGTTTCATGACATTGCCTGCAATTCACCACAATGTAGCAGCTCTCTTCCCACTTCCTCCCTGTAGTTACCTCTTCCCTGTGTCCTTCCTTCCTATGCATTCCTGACCCCTGAGCTATCTCTCTGTACAAACACTTCCCTTCTGTTCTCCCATGATTGATTATTCTAAGCAGTGTATCTACCCAATGTAAAAGAAAAAAAATGTTCACCCTACATGCCTATCTATTGTTTGGCTGGAAGCCACAGGAGTGAGTTTAATTTCAGATCTGAAGGGTAACTAGGGGCCATAGTCTTAGGGGTCCTTATCCTATCTGTCTTGCCCAATTCTTTTCTTAAAACTCCACAGAGTACAGGAAAACACTGAACTGCAGGGTAGAGTCCTTAAACACATGTCCACAACCATTGGTTTAACTCCGTATTGCAAGTTTGCATGGATATGTGAGAATGTATATTCATCCCATGAAAGGAGTTGCTTTCAGCAGATTCTCAAAGATATGTGTGACTCATAAAAGGTAAGAACCACACACTGGGAACATCAGGCTCAACTGGCATAACATCCTACACAAAAGCAATGGTCTACATCCTCCTTTGGTGAGTAACAAATAGGGTCTTAAAAGCTTGCAAGTGACCATTTAAAATGCAATAATTGGTCTCTCTTCATTCAGAGCAAAGAAGAATGAAGAAAACCAGACACATGGAAACAATTAGTCCGAGAAACTAGTTCACCATGCAAACCTCAGCCTACATGACCCTGAGACAAGAACTAGATGGTGCCCGGCTACTACTGTCAACCATTTGGAAAGGGATCAGTGCAGGATATCCTGGATAGAGTGAGAGAACAATGTGTAACAAAACTCTAAATCATAAAAACCACCAGCCTTACTGGTCTGATAGAGATTGCTGAAACCCCTATCCATTGGCCCTGGAATTGAACTCACTCCTGTGGCTTCCAGCCAAACAATAGGCATATAAGGTGGACAGCTGTACCAGGTAGGTACACTCCTTAGAACCATCAACCATAGGAGATCAGAAGGGCAATATTTGCACAGGGAGATAGCTCAGAGGGAAGGAATGCATAGGAAAAAAAGAACATAGGGAAAAGATAACCACAGGGAGGAAGTGGGAAGAGAGCTATTCCATTATGGGGATTGCAATCAATGTTATGAAACAAAATGTGTGTGAATTATTGTATGGAAAATAAATTTTCTCTGTAAACTTTCAATCAAATCACAATTAAAAAAAAAAAATAAGAACCAGAGTTTTATGCTAGCAAATCTCAAGATTTTCATAATCAACTTTCAAGATACTTCTTCCTAGAAATGAAAGCATGTGAGTTATACATGCTGTTGCAGCAGGCAGCTTTGTGTTCTAAGGCAGGGCCCAGATTTCACCCAAGTATTTTTCAAATTTTATTTTAATATATCTATGAAGGGCAATATATTTGTATATTCCATATTTTAGAACATTTGAAAGCACAGTAAAAATTAGTAAAGATTACAGTCTAGGAAACCCTGTGGAGCAGTTCTATCCTGTGAATGGGGTCACCACGTGTTCTGGTTACCTAGTGCTGCTCTGAGAGGAATATACCACAAATGGGATGGCTTGAACAAACAGGAGTTTATTCTCTTACAGTTTGGAGGTTTCACATCCAAGTTCAAAGTGCCAGCCTCTAGAGGGCTGGGTGAAAGCCACTCAACCTTGGGCTTCAGCTCTGCCTCCTGCTCCTGGCCCACTGAAGCTAGAGACTTTTCTTCACTCAGACAGCTGCTGGCAGCTGAGACTGACAAGCCCAAGGTTGACAAGTAAAAAGGTACAGTCCCGATGACCAAACCACACAGCAGGCTGTTCATTCAAGTCCATTGAAAGTCCCAAGGTCGACAGAGCATGGCAGGTTCTGAACAATGACACAGCTACATGCAGGGTCCAAGTATGCCATAAGATAAAGACCATTCCCAAAGCTTTTCTTGTGTATGCGAAGCAGACCACATCCTTAAAGCAGCTACTCAGCTGCTTGTGGTAGATCCCACCATGGAGTTGATTGCCAGTCTCATCATGGGGAATAACTACCACCAGCAGCCCAGCCACTCAACCAGGCCCAGCCAAGTTGACACATAACTTTAACTACCACACCATGAGTGAAAAATAGTCTGGATAGCATACAACAACAATAAGACCCAGTGATATCTTACAAGCATGTAATACTTTTAGATTTCACAAATCAGTTTCTCATATATTATCTAATTTTATTTAATTCTTGTAAAATCCTGCCAGATAGGCATTTCTCCGGGAGCTCTGGTAGCGTAGTGGCTAAGGCACTTGACTGCTAACCAGACGGCTGGCGGTTCAAACCCACCAGCCACTCCTCGGAAGGAAGGTTGGGCAATCCTACTTCCGTAGTGATACTGCCTTGGAAACCCAAGGAGGGGTCGCTATGAGTCAGGGCTGACTCGACGGCACATAACAACAACAACAACAGGCATTTCTCCAGTTTTACACTAAGAAATGTGGCTCAGAAAGAGAGTGGCTTGATGCTATTCACTCATAAGTGGGTAAGTCAAGCTTCAATGTATACTTTTCTCCTGAATGCCTACTATCTTCTTCAGTGTTTCACCCTGAATTTTGGCTTGAGCAAAAAAAGAAACAAAAGTAAAACCATTTGTAGGTGGATCAGAAATGTTAACAATCATGCTCCATTACCTCAGGAGATCAGTCCTTAGAGACCAATCTATAAAGTAGCTTTAAAATATGCAATGGAAGTGCTCACCACAGCCTTATAGTAATGGTGAAACATAGACACAAGTCAGATGTCCTATTCTGGGAATTGAACAAGGAAGACTGAAGAAGAGTTGATGCTTTTGAGCTGTGGTATTACGAAGGATACTGAAAGTATCATGGACTGCCAAAAGAATGAACAAATACGTCCTGGAGGAAGTGCAGCTGTAATGCTCCTTAGAAGTGAGAATGGCCAGACTTTATCTCATCTACTTTGGTCATGTTGTCAGAAGGGACCACTCACTGGAGAAGGATATCATGCTTGGTAAAGTGGATGGTCATTGAAAAAGGGGTAGACCCTTAACGAGATGGATTGATACAGTGGCTTCAATGATGAGCTCAAGTATAGAAAGGATTGTGAGATTGACACACGACCAGGCAGTGTTTCGTTCTGTTGTACGTAGGGTCGCTATGAGTCGGAGCCAACTCAAGCAGACCTAACAACATCTGGGACTTGATCAAGTAAATTATGGTGTACTTGTAGAAAAGAATGTTATACAACCTTTATATCTTATAGTTATTCAAATGATAACATGGAAAAATGCTTATTCTATAATTGGAGAGAGAAGTGAAATAAAGCTGTACAAAAATGACGTTTTGCTGCTCTCAGCCCCTCCCAACTCAATCCCTATTCCCACCCATCTCACAGGTCTGCCAATTGCTTCCAACTTAAGGAATTTTGAGAATGAATCTGATGGTTTCCAAAGCAATTCAATCTAAGGGTTCCTGGGTGGTGCAGATGGTCTGAACTGAGTTAGTAACCCAAAGTAATTTGATCTATAGGAAAATATGTATCACATGGGAGTCACCGTAGAAAGTTAAAACCCGTCTACTCACCAGCCACGTTGAGCTGTACCTTGGCCTCTTCATAGTTTTCGTTTTCCCTGAAAAAGCACCAGTATTCCCCATCATCAGAGACCCTGACCCCATGGATCCTCACAGCCACATGCCCTGCAGTGATGTTGTCCTTCACCAGTGTGGCTCTCCCTTGGTACTCAAGCATCTGCTCTCTGTCCAGCTGTCGGCCGTCCCGATGCACGAGCACCGCAGGTGAGATCTTCTTTCGGAACCACCGCAGCTCCATGTGCTCAGCGCTCACATTTGGGGAGAGGTGACAGGGCAGGTCGATGTCTTCACCCACGAGAGCCAGGATGGGCTCCGGGGGTCCAATCACATCAAAGTGAGCTGCACGAAAACCAGCAGGGTAAGGGACAGGGTATGTGTGGAGATGGCAGTTGAGAGCAGACCCAGACTAAGCTCATGAGAAAGGTGGAATCCCTTGCATTGTTTCTCTAATTCCTCCAACAGACAGGGGTGTCCATTTGGACCCAGTGGAGGTAGCTAAAGAGAGCCACATGAAATTATTTACATTTATTGTAAACAAGTTTCAATCCAACAAGCCAGATATAAAGAGAGAGAAACAGAAGGCAGGCCTACCTGAATCCAGCTTGGGAAGCTGGAGGAAAATGAGGGTGAGTAGACATCTGAGGAAGCAAGAGTTTGGGAAGATTGTCATCTCCAACCTTTCTGGGCAGCAAAATATTGGTGTGAGGCCACTGGAACGTCAGTCTAGAAGATGAGTGGGTAGGTATTACTACAAGCTCTGCAGACTCTCTGTAGTCCATATGCTATCTAATGTCTCTTCTCTTCTTTCTTCCCCAGTCTGACTTTTCAGTCTACTCTGCCATCAGCACCTGCCTACCCAACTCCTTAAGTTTGATCAAGCATATCTGAAACAACAAAATGATCCTTAAAACCCCAAAAGAGACTTTGGAGACAGGAGTTGTGTGGCATAGTAGTACTCATTAGTGGATTGTATAAATGAGCAAAAAAAAAAAAAAAAAAAAAAGTCTTCTTTCAAATACTATAATTTCATATTTGCTTTTAACAATAATGATAAAGATAAAGGAATGGTCCAAGCAACCAAGGAAATGAACTGGAGGAGAAAAGAGAAAATGTAGGAGGGGAATCTGAAGAAAGCTAAAGAGTTTGAAGAACAGAGGGCCTAGAACCAGAAAGGAGAGAAGAATACCCCCTAGTCATTCACTGTTAGGAGAACTGAGAGTAATCTCAGATACTGACCTGATGGTCTTGGAGGAAAAGTCACCAGGGAGCTACTGCTACCAAGTGAAAAAGCTGGTTGTTGCCTCAGGGGCAAAAGTTAAAGGCCAACAGGAAAAGGAAGGGGGAAGACCTCTCAGGAAAGCCTGCCTCCAAGTACCCTGGTGTACTTATTTTGAAAAAAAAAAAAAGAAAAAAAAAAGTTTTCCAGAGAAGTGGAAGTATCCGTGGATTTGTGGTTTTCAGCTCAGATATTGGGGTACACATTAATAAGCTGGGCTAAATAAAAGGGGATAAAATGAGAAGAGGACCAAGGAAACACTAAAATGAGAGGTAAGACCTTAGACCAGTTAATTCACTTCTCCAAGGCTTAGTATTTTTATCCCTGAAATGAGAATATTATTAGTAATACCTTCTTTGAAGAGGTGTTGGGAGGATTAAATAAAATTAAGCACATAAAGCCTATAGTAAGGACTCACCTAAGGGTAAGTTGTTATTCCATTATTATTTTTGTGGGTTGAAAAATGAAAGGGCGGGGTGCCAACGTAGCAGTAGCCTCCAACTCACTGCTGATGGTCTTCTTAGCTTCTTACTAAAGCTGCTGTATTTGTGGGTGTAACGCCATCAGAGGCCACACTTAAAGGTCGGCTGGGAATGAGCAGTCCACAAGGTGTGATTCTTTTTTTAGGACCCCAACAATGCCTCCTTGCCAAAGTTCTCTTGAAGCAACTCATGAGGCCTATAATTCTTTATTTTGGTTAAACTTCTTACTGTTATGGCAAAAGGAGGAAGGGAAAAAAAAAAAAAAAGGTGAAAATCACCCATAGTGCCACAAATTAATGATAACTTCTGTTCATATTTTGGTATATTTATTTCCATTTTCATTCAATGCTTAGGTACATCATTAAAGGAGAATCAGGATGGCCTCAATATAGCTTTTTGCATAACTCAAGACATTGTCAATAACTGCCACAATAGTACATTTAAGCTCATATATTTCATATAACCATTTTAAGATTGTGGGACTCTTCATGCATTAAGTCTTTGTCCACATCTGTGGTTACTTCCTGATGAACTTTCTGATAAACTCCCAGAGATATAAATATTGAGTCAAAGGATATAAGCATATTGCTAAAGTCCCTTCCTGAAATGCTGAACTTGCCACATCCACAAAGTATCTTTCTCATTAATCCCTGCCAACAATGAGGGTTATTATTTCTCATCTTATTAACAGGATAAGTAAAAAATTATCAAATTATTATTTTACTATGCATTTATATGATAGTAAGGTTGAAATTTTTTCATGTATTTATTAACCATTTAATATATTCTGAAAATGAGCTTTTCAGGCCAATTGTCCATTAGCTGATCCTGGTACAGTTTCTTACCAATCTATATAATTTTTTTTTTTTTTTT